TCTATATTGATTTCTTCAAGTATAGGACTATACCATGAAGGGTTTATAGAGAGGATTTGTTTATATTCTGCTTGCCAGTATTGGTTAAATATTATGTCATTATAAGGTTGATATGCTGTTTATTTATTGAAATGATTTGTGATGTGTTGTTTAATATTTGTTGGATTAGTGATGATATTACTATCTGTTTTAATATTTTGAAAATATATAGTCTCTTTATATCTGTTGAGTATCATCAGCGAATTATATAAACGTAATCTTACGTAAGTTATTACGGACCGAAAAATTCCGCAATAATTACGATCGACGCGGAATATTACGCAATTTTTAATTACGGAATATTACGAAATATATTACACTATATTACGAAAAAAATTTCGCAATATTTCGAAATAATTTGCAATAATTCGAAACTAGAAAAATAAATTAGCTATCGAAATATAATGCAAAATATTGCGAAATAGGGCAATTAAAAATGCAACCCTCTATCTAATTATTCCCCTCCGGGTCACAGGAGGTAATATTTCACATATTATCGCATTATTTCGCATTATTTCGCAATAATTCGCAATAATTCGCATGATTTTGCAATAATTCGCAATAATTCGCATTATTTTGCAATTATTCGCAATAATTCGCAATAATTCGCAAATTTTCAAAATTTTTTAAAAAATAAATAATAATGCTTTTTGCAAATTTTTGATCATTTTTGCAAGAATTCGCAAGGTTTCGCAATTTAATATAAAATTTTATATTTTTTTATTTATTATTATTATATATTATATTTTAAATTAAATATACATTTTTATTAAATATTATATATTTTATTATATATTATTATACATTCTTTACAAAAAAATAAATGAAAAAAAAATGACAAAAAAAAATGAAACCAAAAAAAACGAAACCGAAAAAAAATAAAAAATTCCATAAAAAAACTAGCCCTATACGCTTATTTTCGCTCACCCCGCAGTTAGTTATTATTTCGCTTCTTTGTTTTAACTATCGTATTTGCTTCAGCTATTTCTTTGTTTTGGCTATCAGCTCTTTTTTCTAAATACTTTCTAAAAATAGTAGAAAAGTGAAAAAATAAAAAAAACTATTTCTCAAAGTGTTGGTATTCTTGCAAATTGTCAGAAAAATCTAGTTTTTCTTGCAAAGTTGCGGAGAAGTTAGAGTTGGTGTTCTTGTAAAGTGCCAGAAAAGTAGGTAGTTTTCTTGCGAATTGCCGAAGAAGTCAGAAATAAATAAAATAAAAATTAAAAAATAAGTAAAAAAAACAAATGAAAAAACAAAAAATGTAAGCAAACTGAATAAAAAAAATAAAGGAAGCCACAAATCTCCATTTCTCTAAAGTGAGAGTTCGTATTCTTGCAAATTCAGAAATTGCCGAAAGCCAGGTTAATGTTCGCAAAATACCGAAAAAGTCCGGGTTGTTTTCTTGTAAAGTGCCAGGAAGTAAGAGTTGTGTTCTCGCAAAGTGCCGGGATAAAATAAGTTAATAAAAAAAAATTTTTTAAAAAAAAAAAAAACAAAAAAAACAAAAACAAAAAACAAAAGGTAAAACTTTTTTGAAAGCTTGCGAAAACTTTCGAAAACTTGCGAAAACTTGCGCTTATTCTCTAAAGAAACATTCTTGGAAATGTAAAAATTGCTAGAGAAATCAGTTGTTTTCTTGCAAAGTGTCGGAAGTCTGCGAAGTCAAATTGGTGTTCTTGCAAAGTGTCGGAAGTCTGCGAATATTCTTGCAAAGTGCTAAAAAGTTGTTGGTTTCTTGCAAAGAGCTAGTGTTTTTGTAAAGTGTAAAAAAAATTAAAAAATAAATAAATAAATAAAAAAACAAAATGAACAAAAAAACAAAATGAAAAAAAAAAAACGAAACGAAAAGAAGACTAATTTATAAACAAAGATCTAATCTGATCTTATAATACAAAATTCGATTAATTTCGATACATATCGAAAATATATGATCCAGGTTACAGATCGACTGATCCAGCTTGGTTTCCCAGGTCTAAAATATTTTGAAAATAATTCGAATTAGTTCGAACTATAATAACATTTTTTGAAATATTTCGAAATTAATCTCATGTAATATTTCGTAATTTATTTCGAAACAAAACGAAACGAAAAGAAGTCTAATTTATAAACAAAGATCTAATCTGATCTTATAAAACAAAATTCGATACATATTGAAAATATATGATCCAGGTTACAGATCGACTGATCCAGCTTGGTTTCCCAGGTCTAAAATATTTTGAAAATAATTCG